AAAAAAAAAAAAAAAAAAAAGAAACAATGACCTCCACTAACATACCAGTCATGTATTTAAAACAATGAAAGCTAGCAACTAAGAAGATCAACTAAAGAATGGATTTGTAGGTGCTGAGGAGAACAATGCAACATTTAAAACCAGAGCAAAAGATATTCAAACTGAAGAGGTAAAGGTATTCATATTGAAGAGGTAAGTAACTTCTAAACCCAATCCTCCTTCCTTCTTTAGTGATCTACAACAGTTAATAAAGAAGATAACTTGTAAAAAAATCAAGCTAAACAGCTCATGTTTCTATCTTACATTAGGAATCAAGTGTAGCACTTTCACAAGAGCAGAGCAGCACAGAGAAAATAGCTAATGAAGTGTCTGACGAGCAGATTCCAAGAAAAGTAGATATGGCTGAGAGCAGTGGAAAACCAACTTCAACTGGCACTTAAATTGCTTTACTAGAGAAGCTGGATAGAGTGGCAGAAACCTTTATGAAAGGTGAAGTAAGAGATCTGGAACTTGGAAATGCCAAAGAGACAACTTCCACTAATGCTGGCACAAGGTTGTAGCTAATCAACTGATAATAGAGAAATATAAATATAAATATGCCGTACAGAAGGTTTTATAAACATATAAATAACATTGCTGAACTCTTCATTGCATTTTGCAAACAAGAAACAACTTCCACTAATGCTAGCACAAGGTTGTAGCTAATCAACTGCCAAAAAGAATCTTACAAAATGGCCCCCTCTCTCAAATACTGGGTGTATATTAACACAATTAGCCTTTCATATCTATTGCCCCCAATTCCAACCCAAACTTTCAGCTTATATTTTATATCAAAATAAAGATTGTGATAATCCCAACCGTAAGCAGACACTAAATTACAGGAAATTCCATGGCTAAGTGCAACCTAAGTAGATATATGCTTTCCAATTAATTCCATTGCAAAATCACATATTCACTGTTTGATCATATCTACAACTACATTTCATGTTTAAAACACCCACCCTTCCACCAACCTGAATACAGGATAATAGTAAACAAAGCTCATTCCACTTAAACCTATCAATATGCAAGCCAATCCAACAATATTATTTTATAGCTAATCAACTGTACGGTAGCTCCAATCCAGAAAAACAAAAACTAGAACTGATAATAGAGAAATATAATTTATATGTTTATAGAACCTTCAACGTGATTAATAAATTGAAAGCTTCAACATACCATTTCATGTACTGCTTGTGCCAGAGAAACCAACTGAATAATAAGACAAGATCAAAGAATTAGATTCTATAAATTAGAAAATATAAAATATAAAATATAAAAAGACAATTATATTTAAAAATACAACCTACACTTAAAAGGAAAGCCAACCAATCATATTTCTTGTCATCAGGAAGTGATTTTAGCAAATAAAATTGCTCAGGATCACCATTTAATAACAATTGCACTGCCTTGAATATTTCTTGTTGAGAAAGACCCAAAACTGTTGATACCACTTCATATATCTCTTGACCACTTGGTTTCTTTTTCAAGTTCATGTACTCCTTGAGTGATGAAGCAATGTCACCAACAATAGCAACCAATGGATCTTTC